GCATCTTAGAATAGTTGTTAAATTCTTGATAAATTGCCTTCGATTTTACAAGAACTTCAAAAACTTTTTCAGTATAAATCCGCCAACTGTTTATTCCACAAATATTTATCAAACACTTTAAACTACTGTGTTAGGTATTGTCTAGATTTATTTAGTGAGCTAAGGTTTCCAGATACCACTTGCAATTTTTATTTTTGTTATTAATTATGTAAACAAGTTCCATTGCTTTTCAGTCATTTATATATATAAAATAAATGACCCTTTAAATATTTACTTTTTTAATCATGTCTTATCGCCTCAGTAGGAATAAGCCAAGATCCTTCACAGGTCCATGAAATCCTAAACAGTTTAGCTCCCCTGTTAGCTTTACGATCTCATATCCTCACTTACTCTTCTCCAGCTCTACTGGCCTCCTTTATGTCTCTTGAATGAATATATTGGCAGTCTCCTGTTTCAGGGCCTTCGCTTCAGCTGTTCTCTCTGCCTGAAACACTTTTCCCCAGATATCTCCATTGTTTGCTCCCTCACTTCCTTCAAATCTGTATTCAAAAATACTACCTTCTAAGTATGGCCTTCCTTGGCCACATTATTTTAAATTGCAGCGTCCTCTTACCCAATTCCCTTTACCCCTTCTCTGCTGTATTTTTCTTCTTATCAACTTCTAGCATTCTACATGTTTTATGTATTTACTCTCTCTTTTCTCTACAAGAGTATAAACTCCACAAGGCAGGGAATTTTTTCATGTACTACACCATTCTTCATTCCTGCAACAGTACCTCCTTGTCTGTAGTCCTATAAATGAAAATGCTTATAATTTGTCTGTACCAGTTCACCTTCTGATAGGTTTAGGTGATAGATTTCTTTTCCACACTAGCTCAGCGGTTTTCAGAATAAGAAACTTCCAAGATGTAAGTTTCTGGGCCCTCTCTTACAAAATTAGAAACTCTAGAGTTGGTACTTGGTACATAGAGCATGTGTGTTTTGAAAAAATACTTCTGATGAAGAACTGCTTAAAAATATTTTAAACTATATATTAACATCATTTAATTTTTTTAAATTTACAAGCATTTAAGAAAATAAATAATTGTTTTATATTTAAAAAGCCTTAACTTTCTAGCTGTGCTTGGTACTTGACTCCAGCCCATCCTTTTTTGCTTGATGTCACTGAGTATGATAGGGGTTCAATTTCTTCTGCCTCAGACTTTTTCTGATTTAAGACAGATTTTTCTGTTTTTAGTCCTTTGTCTCATTTTTGCCTTTGGTAAGGGTATATCTATTTCCTAAGCATTTTCAGGGTTCTGGAAGTGCAGCTTCTTCCTGGTATCTCCTTCAGACACTTAGACTTTGACCTTCTTTTGCTCTGCTAAGTCATCATTCTTCTACCTGCTCTTAATTTTTATGCAATTGGTTCATATATGCCTCTTACTCATTGAAGCTGGAGGTCATATTCTGTTTCTAATTGTTAAGGAGTAATTTTCAAGAAGAAAGTGGGGAGCAACATCAGACTGCCATCATAATACTAGAAGTCCATCCAACTTAATTTTATTGTTTTTAGTTTTTTGTGCCAACTGACATCCCAGAACCTTATTACCCAACTTTTATTTCCTGTTGCTCCCTGTCCTAAATTTCACTTTTTTTTCTTTGAGATGGAGTCTCATGCTTGTCTCCTAGGCTGGAGTACAGTGACGCGATCTCGGCTCACTGCAACCTCTGCCTCCTGGGTTCAAGCCATTCTCCTGCCTCAGCCTCCCGGGTAGCTGGGACTACAGGTGCCTGCCACCATGCCCGGCTAATTTTTGTACTTTTAGTAGAAATGGGGTTTTGCTATGTTGGCCAGGCTGGTCTTGAACTCCTGAACTCAGATGATCCACCTGCCTCGGCCTCCCAGAGTGCTGGAATTACAGGCGTGAGCCATTGCATCAGGCCCTGAATTCCATTCTTTAATCAGACAGAACCACAAACCTTTCCCTATATAAGTTCCATGCTTTTCCTTCTCTGAATCTAGATTCTCCTTCTCTTTATTGTCACATGTCCAAATTCTGTTATCTAACATGTTCCTATGATTGTGTCCACTAAATCATCCCGGATTCTAAACCCACCAACACATAAAGCTAGAAGTAATAACTCCTTTTGTTGACCTATCCAGTAACTTTACTGGTATTCTTTCTGGAATTTGTCACTTAATAGCTTGTTTTATGATTATCTGTACATATTTTTATATCTCCAGTTGAAAATGGAACCATGAGAGGAAGAATGGTGTCTTGATTAATTTGCATATTCATTTTAACACCTTACCCATAAAGGTGCTCAATCAATATTCGTTTAAGGACTATATATGTAATCACACATATTATCTCTCCTTCCTAGCTTTGTGCTACCTGGATATGTATAAATATGTTCTCATTTTTTATGCTATCAATTTAAAATGTTTTCAGGACCAAAACAAGAATAGACCCAATAGAGGTCCTCCTCAAGATTAACATGAATCTACCAATCATTGTTTTTTGGATTATGATTATTGAACAGTCTATAAATTCACTCTTTCTTCTGTTTTCTAAGCATATTATGAGCGACTGTCAAAATTTCCAACAAGAGATGTAGGCTACATGTTTGAAAATGCCCAGGAATTTTCTTTCCTTGGTGTGATCAGTACCAGAATTCCTGCCCCTTCTTTATTATCATTTATTTTGGCCTTTGTGTTCAAACTTAGGCACAAATAGTTGCGTGTTTCATTGCCCCCTTTATCTATTGAGGAATTAAATTTTCATCAGGGCAACTTAAGAATTTATCATAGGCAAAATTAAACTTCTAGTATGTGTAGATGGATAATATTTCCCATCGTGTCTGTATCTTTCTGCTCGTTTACAGTGTTTTAAGAAAGACTTATCTAAATCTTCCATCTGGCAGGGTAGCAAAAAAGTATGCTCCATTTGATAAAATTCTTGCCTTCTTTTAGCCTCACATAGGAGTTTCTTTATCCCTTGTTTAAGAATTTCTCTATAAGTGTATATATTTTGATTTATGGTAATTGTCCTCTTTCCGCTGGGAAGCATTGTAAGACATTTCTTTCAAATACCAGTTGTCATACACAAGTTTCTTCCCATTAAGCGTTAGCTTATTTATTTTGAAATTTCAGATTTGCTCTATTTACATACACACAGACACACATATCACACACACATACACACTTTTTTTTTAGGCTATTGGCTTTGTTTACTGCTTACATTTTCCTCCTAATAATTTCCTGGCAGTTCTTCCACTGCTTTTTCCCTACTATATTGTTGTTATTCATAGGTCTAGTCTTACAATTTCAATTGAGGATTTTTTAATCTTTTGATTTCAGTGTAAAGCTTCTTGAACATACCTGTGGGTATTGCTGAACATAATCTGTTGGTTCTTCCAAACCACTTAGCACTTTTCCAAGAGTACAATCATTTTAATGTCATAAGTTATCACCTAAAATATTATTCTTCAGCAGTATCTGCATAGCTAGTTGTGTTTCCTATATCCATTTCTTTACAAAACTATAACTTTTAAGTGGAAGAACAGATGGCAGTACCACTCTGCGTTAGAAAATGCCTCACAGAAGTGGAGTGAAGAACAACCATTAGAGACCCATTACAATTTGTACCATTGAACCATTCATTTTCTGTCATAGACGTGGAAAGAATACAGATGGTTTTCTATCTCTATACCTCAGGATGGTGTTATGCCTTTCTATTTTCTGTGTTTGTCTGCTAATTGGTTGTTCACTCTGAAAATGTGGTTCAATTCCTGGAGTGTAACTGAGAACAAACAGGGTTCAAAGGGATATAGATAGAAAGAAAAGCAAATTTGACCACTGGCTCTAAGGAGGAGCCTAACCCCAGCTAATTCTGGAGGGTCACTTCATTACAGACTACCTTATCATACTGAAAAGTGTTTCACTTCCCCAACAAGATTTTAAATTTGTATTAAAATACCCACTTTTTCTCAACTTTAGGGGTGACTAAAGTTTGCTTATCTACCAGGCAAAATTCAGTTTTAGTTCTTAATGCACAGAAAGACTGATAACAACATAATTCTTTAAATGAGTTCCAGTTTGTCTATTGGTAGCTTGAGTAGCTTACCACCCATTGTACATAAGACAATAGGCTATAGAAACAGTTTTAGAAGCCTGCCTCTCAGCTTTTAGGGAATTGTTTGAATTAACGAAAAGGAGGATAACATTGTCTCAACAATAAAAACCTCTTTATGAAACAAAAAAAACTATATTTATACCAACAATATCTAATTCTTTATGCCAACAATATCTAATCCTAAGAGCCTAAAAATAACTGTCTCTATACATACAAAAGGGAATTAACAGTGCCACAGGTCTTTCACTTTGTGAAAGGGTAATAACAGATTTATCTCTTTTTCAGTTGCCTTTATATTCTTTTCATTTAAAAATATGAGTTACTCCTCCATAAGCAGAATCTTATACCTCTGTTCCAATGATACTGAGTTTCTTTTTCCAAAGTGTAATATACTTCCCCTCAGTATCATCTTGATACATAGCTCCTCAACAATCTTTTAACCTTTTCTCCTATTTTTTTAGAACAATTTTGTCTTATGTAATATGACAGAACCATGTTTTTCAAGCCCTTTTGGCTTCTTCTGTAATATAGAAAGCTTTGATTTGCAAAATTGTGATATGATCAATCACATCAGAAAGTCTTGCATGTTACAAAAACAGATTTTCTTGATTTTAAGACTTTCTGGGTATCAGGATGAACACAGGCTCCTTTGGCTTCCTCCCTAAACTGCTATGAAAACTTCCTCTTCCTGGGTACTATCTTCTGGAATGCCTTGCTTTTATATGTGCCTTGCTTCACTTGCCACATACCTGTAAATCTATTTTATAGTCTAGAGAATTAAAACTATTTAATCAATATAAACTCCTTTGAGAGTATAGAGGTGTAAACCAACACAGTCCTTCACTAATTACAAGTACCAGTTCACAGAGTAATAAGCAATACCTTGCTTTTTGATCTCCACGCCTTTTTCCGTCACTCCTGGATTACTGCCTGCCGTCTGAGAGATAAAACAATGATTAGATTAAAACAATGAAAGAAAAGTTGTTCTTTCTCTGGGGGAAAATTTCATTGCCTAGGAGTACACCCAGATCTTTACCCAGAACTTCTGGGGTACAACATGGTATAGTTTCTTAGCTTTCTCATCACACCGGGCCATGTCACCTCTCAAGACTTCAGTTCTCCCGTACATAAAATGAGATCAGAAGTTCCTTTTAGATTTATGATCTATTAATTGATCCCCAAATTTGAATCTCATTACTAATGACTGTTGCTGGAACACCTGCTGGCATTTTCTGACTTTTTTTTTCCTTTTAATCAAGTTTTATGCAAGATTTTTCAGTAATACTTTTGTGTTCCAAATGTGGCACATAATTGATTTTGATTTAATGTTTGTTGTCATAATAGTGCAGCACAAGCCTTTACTAAATTACATATTGCTTTTATAACTTAACTGGAATTGTGTACATAGATCACTTTTCCAACAATTCTCCCCTTTTTACTGGCAGATCTTGGTGAATCCTTTGCCAGTAATAAATTGTGCATTGGGAAAATCCGACTTCCACATTAAGAAGCTAATGACTTGTATTTTTTGAAACCCTATTTGCCAAAACAGTCTCTTGGACACTTAGACTTTTTTAAAGCTCTATTTTCTTTGGCTGGCTTAAAATGTGAATTGAATAATCTCTTTGGTTCTGGTGGTTCTGATGCATCTGTTGCCAGTGGTGGATGTTGGCCTGAGGAAATGTGACTTCCATTACCTAAGGCAAATGATTATTAAAGATGTTCATCGAGAAGTTATGCACCTTGGACCTTGTGAAACCAATCAAGCAGGAAGTAGCATGTTCTTTAGATAACAAACAAAATGTAGTTACTGTAAGAGAACTTAAAGTCTTTAAAACCTTTTTTGGATATGACCCCAATGTGGCTTTCCATGTTTTAGACAACTCCAAGTCCTCATCACTGATCAACAATATAGTCAAAGTATAATCAAAAAAGAGGAGCTATTGGTTTATATATAATCATAGCTGTGGAAAACACTGTTACAGATTTAGCTTAATAATTATGTGATTTTTTTAATTTTTGACTATAGATATCATAATATTAATATGTATTTCATTTGTTTTATAATACCTAAGGCTTACTAATCAATATCAAAATCAACATTTATTGAGTACATGAAGGTTTGTGGGATGGAGCAATAACTTTTGTATTGTTTTAGCCTCAATTTGTTCATTGAAAATAAAAGCTTCATGTCCAGTTACTTTGATTTGCCACACTTATGAATATAAAGAAAAGATACAAATGAATATTTGTCTGTTTAATTAATTGCACAATTTAGCCAACTTTGATAATTCTAAGTAAAAAGTATTTTATCCTTCCTGTGAACTAAATAGGTAGGCAGGTCTGTCTGACTACAACTAAAAGAAAGAAGCAAAGCTTAGCAAAATAGTAGACTATATGAGTAGTAACTTTGAGTTGGGATAAATGAAATTAAAGTGACCTCTGACATTTGTCCTCCTCCTTCTACTTTCTATCTTATATGAAATGCAAGAAGGTTTGGATAGAACTTTCCCTTAAGCAGAAAACTGACAGTTATCCACCAACTGGAAGCTCCTACCATGGTTCCTATGCTTTGCCATGGCCCCGGTATACAGAGGACCTAGAGACAGATAACTTTTGTCAAAGAATTACAAAAATTACTCTCTGCTAAAGTCAGTGAACTGGCCTCTAAGGAAAGTATGTGTGAAGAATGATTATGCTAGGTTTACAGATTATGATTTTTCCATCGTTTTAGCTGCCTTTTGAACCCTCCCATGTTGCCTTGAAAGTTAGGGAGCTTAGAACCACTCATACTATGTACAGATTTAATGTTAAGAAGTATTGCCTTACTATTATATATTTGTCCTTTTGCATATTTTAAATTTTTCTTGTTATAAGTGTTTGTTAGAGAGCAGTAAACAATGATACTGCTAAGTTTAGGTTTTAAATTTCTTGCTCTTTCTGATTTGTGATAAAGATAGAAGATTGAAGGAATTACTTGCCATGTAGTGGGCAGATCTAAATAGTTATATGGTTTTCATGTCAGTGCCTACTTGGTAATATTACATATGCCTCCCTCGATTCTTATCTCTTTATTTCTCACTGATACCACTGTTGTCATAATAATATAGCTGAGAATATTTTCAGGCTAATATCACATTTTTTCTTACAGCCATCCTTAGGTGGCATTTAATTGCCATGAAAGTATTTATTTTTGAATAATCTGTTTCCAGGAATTAGTTGTTTACCATAACTATATTTGTATATAGTACATACTGTCTCTGGAAAACATATTTTAAACTGTGACCCTTCAGAACATTCTAGAATTCTCAGTCATATTTGAAGAATAGTCACATACCAACAAACTAATAGATGGCATAGATGCCAGTCTCCATTAGAGTTGTAGAAGGCTAATTGGCTACTGTAGACTTGAGTTCTTTGTTTTTTTAATAAAACATCAGACAAGTAAAATTAATTTTAATTAAAAAATTTTAAAAGAGAGAATAAGTGAAACATAAGAGAATTTAAAATGCAAAATAATCTTTTTAAAAAATTGATAAGCTAATGTAAGGTGCTAAATTTGTCAAATCATTTTTTCATAAGTGTGAAAGTGTATTTGAAGAAGATGTTATTTCTTCAGAATTTATTCTCCATATTTTGGTGTCACTGGTATTAAAATTCAAATAATTTAGATAAGGTGGAGGATGGTTTATCTGAAACAGTCCTTTTTAAGCCAAAATGTTTAATTCTTGATTTTAGTTTATTTCACCAAGTGCTAATAATACGTATTTATCTACCTTAAATTCATCACAGCACCAAACCCCGTCCCCATCTCCTGACAGAAGAAAGTAAGGCAAAGAGAGAACACAAGAAAGCAAGTTCAGGGGAGAGAACTTTCAGCGGGTTAACTCAGAGTCATTCTGTTTCACAGGAATTTCCTTGAGATGATGCATAAAATGATAGTGCACAGAAGGCATAAGCAGAAAAACATTTTAACTTGTGACTTTATATCTTTCCTTCTAACTCATTTAAGCAACTCCTTAACTCTTTGGAAGGTGTGACAAAAGGAGCAGCACCCTACTGTTGGGATTCATAAGGAAGCTCTTGAAGATGCACATAAGTGATGACAGTTGTTATGCTTGCTAAAATGTGTGGTATCATTCTTTTCTCTGATGCAATCGTAATTTTTTAGTTTTCCAGCTTTGTTTTCTCAGTGCCCTTCTCTTGTCTTTCCCACTGACCACCTCTGCCAGAAAGAAAGGATCTCACATAAGTTTTCCAAGTTGGTGTATTTTAGAAACACCATGATTCTGACCTTAACTATAAATTTATCTAAGATCATGTTTAATTAATGAGAGAAAAAGTAAGGACCAGAGGAGCAAATGAGCTAGGATAAGCAAGTGGGCTCACCTCAGAAGGGAGAGAAGTGCCTTAGAAATTTTAGAGACCATGAACTTGAGGAAGGCATTTTTAGCACTATATCAAGGATCTCAGATGGTATAAGCATTCATAATGTGGTAGATCGTCCTAGGTCAGAAGATAATTTGTCTTGAGTGGGTCAAAGCAATGTGAGATGCAACCACATACTTCATTCATAAGCCAATTTTTTGGGTGAGGATTATTTTACATTTTGGAGAAAATGCTGTTATATTAACTATATGTTTTAAAAGGAAATTAAAGAAGATTTCAAAAATATTGAATTTCATTGGGAAAAATGAATGAAAGTTTTCTGTTCTTTTACCTGAAGATAACCTCATTTTTGTGTTTATCTTAATGCCATCATTTAAAAAAACCTTTTCAGACCTAAGTATGACTTTCTGAAGACTTTCATAATACAGTGAAACACCCCAGATTTTATTTTCTTGCTTTTTCCTAGCCCAAGTTCACAAATGACTTTTATTCCATTGATTAGTTATACCATGTGCTGATGACACATTGTTATCAGGTTGAAGGCCCTTTCATTGTGGTTTCTTTTGCCACATGGAATGCCTAATCCTGGCCATCTCTCTTTAAATGGGTGCCTGTTAGATCCCTAAGGGCATTGAATGAGAGAATCATACCAGTTCAAACAAACTACCACTATTGGAAAATTAATTCAAAAGTGAATATGCTGTTATGTCAATCAGTAGTATCATCTTTATTGTTAATTACTAAGGATTCTGTTCTTTGTAACTTTTATTACTGTATTTGGTTGGAGATATTTCTTTAAAACTTCTTGAATAGGTGCAATGTAGTAATAAGTTTTGAAAAACTGCTCAGGAGACATCTGAACTTATTACACTCTTTATTAAATTTCAGTTTTAGATTTAAGGAGTACATGGGCAGGGTTGTTGCAAGGGTATATTGCATGATGCTCAGGTTTGAGGTACAAATGCTTCTGTTACCCAGGTAGTGAGCATAATACCCAATAGGTAGTTTTTCAACCCTTGCCCCATCCTCTCCTCTCCTCTCTTACCGTCTCCACTGTCAGTCATTTCTATCTTTATTTCCATGAGTACCTCATGTTTAGCTTCACTTATAAGTGAGAACACGTAGTATTTAGTTTTATGTTTCTGCATTAATTCACTTAGGATAATGGCCTCCAGTTACATCCATGTTGCTGCAAAGGACATGATTTTGTTCTTTTTTTATGGCTGTGTAGTCTCCCATGGCATGTATATACTACATTTTCTTTATCCAGTCCACCACTGATGGGCACATTAGGTTGGTTCCTATCTTTGCTATTGTGAATTATGCTTTGATGACCATGTGTGTGCATGTGTCTTTTTGGTAGAACTGTTTATTTTCCCTTGGGTATATCTACCCAGCAATAAAATTGCTGTGTTGAATGGTAGTTATATTTTTAATTCTTTGTATACTCTTAATTTAATTAGCAAATTTCAAAATGGTTTACTATAAAAATTCTCTTAAAGTTCTTATTCCTGTAAAGGAAGATTTAGAAATGTATAATTAATGTATATTTCAAATTAATGTATATTTCAGTTTCATTCATCATTTGAATGAAATTAGGTATATATTCATAATGGAGTTTTAGCATTGATTAGCCTAGCATAGCAAATCTATAAATTTTAGATGCTGCTTTTGCATTTATAATGCAAAGAGGAAAATGGGTCTTCAACAGCCCAAATTATCCTTAAATCAACAAATACTTGAGTAGCTACAGTACGCAAAGAAAATACCATATACTTTTTTTTTGGTGATTAACAAGTGATGATGTCTATAATATATATATTTTATGCAGCATGGGAGGCAGGTGAAGGGAGTAGTGAGTCAATCACATAGAGAAATTTATGAATTGTATTTTCAATTGTGTCGTTAACAATAGATCGCTGACTTTTTGAAATTATTTTCTTAAAGGTTTTTCTTCATAGGCACTCAGGTTAACCTTAGTTCTCACCTGTAAAAGTCACAGGTCGAACTGCTAAAATGTATCTATTTTATGAATAAAGTAACAGTAATTGCCTTACCAACTTCTTGGGGCCCTGGTCTTGGCTGGTTTCATTTTTGTTCATTTTTTCATGTGATTTGTTCCTTCACCTTTAAAGATATCTCACTGGAGTCAGTGAAGAATACTTTTTGACTGAAACTGATGTGTTGAGATAATCCTTGAAAAAGGAATAACTTGCCATTAGTTTTCATAGAAACCACTGTGTGTGTGTATATATATTAACATATATATGTATATATATATAACTAGTAAAGATTTGTGAGACTCTTTTTGACCCACATATTTAAGTTCTAATTAATGATACTTGATGGTAACAGTATCAGCATTAATCTCAGAGTCTAGCATTTTCTAGGTCATTAGAAATAAAGTTTCCATTTTTTTAGATAGCCATATTCATTTTACAGTGATTAAAAGATTTATTTAAATTAATTTCTATTCCTTCACTGAAAGCCTTGAAGAGAAAAGGTCATTGAGCATTTGCTTTTATTTATGTTATAATTTGTTCAGTGAACAGTAATCCATTATATATTTTATCTGAAAATTTTATCCTAAATGTAGCATCCTATGAATTTATTTTATAAACTGCAATCAAATATTTTTTAAATAGCATTGTTGAAAGTCAGAAGGCAGGGGCTGGGCGTGGTGGCTCATGCCTGTAATCCCAAGCACTTTGGGAGGCTGAGGCGGGCGGATCACGAGGTCAGGAGTTCGAGACCAGTCTGGCCAACATAATGAAACCCTGTCTGTACTAAAAATACAAAAAATTAGCCAGGTATGGTAGTATTCACCAGTAATCCCAGCTACTCAGGAAGCTGAGGCAGGAGAATCACATGAACCAGGGAGGTGGAGGTTGCAGTGAGCCAAGTAACAGTGTGAGACTCCATCTTAAAAAAAAAAAAAAAAAGAAGGCAAAGATATGATATGAGTCCATTTTATGAAGTTAAATTTTAAGTAAAAGGAGCCTAATTGGAGGACTGGCTGCCTTTTAACAACCTGTAGCATCTTTTCAAATTCTACTAGTTCCCATTCTCTGCAAAGAAAAAGCTTTTTCCATCAACGTATTCAATAGATCTGTTTTTTATTGTTGCCTTAGGTAGGGAAGAAAACTTCAGGTTTTTCATCTTTTATAACTGAAATGTTGTGATTCACATTCATAAACTTTAAAGTTTATGAATAAAGAGGAAAAAACTTTAAAATGTAAGGCGGATTTTTAGTTATTTTTAAACTAGGAAAGTAATTTACCTCTCTTGAGTACAAAGTGTTTTTTTTCCTCCTTCTAATCTAAAACTTGAGGAACATTTCAACATGGTTTATAAAAGGATTTTGTCTTTTGACTTTCTTTAACACAATAAGAAATAAATGTAAATATTGGCAGGCCTATAAACCTCTAAACAGTTTTTTGTGATATAAGAAACTAGTATTTAACTATTAGTGCTGCCATCATAATTTCATTAGTGTGGCTCTGTACACACTTTCTCCAGTGACGCAAATACAGATGTTATTTTTTGGAACATCAGACTTATGGCTGCCTTCTCTCTTCTTCATTACTTATGTTGGACACACTGCCATTTTCACTTGCCAAGAAAAACCCCACAGTTCAGTAGACTTCAGTTTTGAGGTCTTTCTTGTCCTTCTTAGACCACCAGTAGCTTTGTCTGTTGGCAATCAGAAATTGGACACTTCTTTTTGGTGTTTAACAAACCAGACTCTGTTACGTGACCTCTAAGGAAGAATATAGCAAACTAAGCAACATCACTGGCAACAACAGCAGATCCCTTTGGAATGCATTCTTTGGAACACAGGCCAGATTATTCTTTTTTATCAAGCTTTATGAGATTTTTATTAAGGTAGTGATAAGTCTAAGAATCAAGTAAGATATGAGCAGTTGTATGTATTTTCCTTTACCCATATCCATATACAGAAATGACTAAAGATACCAAATTGTATATGTATCTGTGCTGTTCTACTATAAGCAGACCCCAGAAACTAAGGTTCACAATTGGAGCTTACAGGTTTAGGTTTCTATTATTCTTATTGTATAATCAATTCCGTGAAGCTAATGTTCAAATAGAGGGCTTATCTAATTCTACCAACTTCCCTGTTCCCCATTCCCCGCTTCCCACCCACTGCTTCCCCTCACCACCACCCAATATACACTTTCTTTGCTAATTTTAGGAATTTTTTTTCAACCTCCTTCTCCTCCCTTCTCTTGTCTTGGCTTTGTAACTTATGTGTATAACCTTTCCAATGATGTCCTGTGGATTATGCTAAAGTATAATGAGTAAATCACATGCTTGAGTTTGTAGAAAGACCTTATACCATCAAACCATAGTTTATAGAAGCCAAGAGGTCTTTTTAAAGAAGTATGACATTAACTCTGCTCTTCTTCTCTTTTTTCTTAGCACTCATATATTTTTTTGTGGAATGTTCCAAACTCCTAACTTACCCCTGTTATCCTAAATAATTGAATGACATTTAATTATCAATGCCAGCTGTGTCATTCAAGTAATCAGCTTTCTCCTCTACTATAAAAATTTTGTTAAAAAGTACATTTTGTTTTTAAATATATTTCATTCAAGTCTTAGTTTTAGATAATATATTTCAAAAGTGGTGTTAGTTTTAATTTCTTGCTTACTTTATTTCAAACTTGAGTCTGTTCACATTGGATGCCCCTAGCAAGTGGGCTTTTTTCTTTTTGCTTTTCTCTTTTTGCTCATTAAACTTATCTTCCACCTTCTTTGTATTCCAAACCTATTATAATGCACTTTTCAGAATATCTCAAAAATTGCCTCATGGAACAATATTGCTTTCAGAGGTATGGTTTTGCAAAGAATTCCATGATGGTGCTATTTATATTGATTCATCTAATATGTAGAATGCACTTGAGTATTCATTTTTATCTGAGTCTTAATAAGCTAAATCTTACTAATTTATGAGATAAAACACAAGTTACCGAGATAAGTATATAAATGGGCCTGCGAATGACTGCTTTGCCTTTGCTACCTCTCATGAGAGTCTTCTAAGTAACCTGTAAACTCAAAAGAAAGCCTTTGCTTTCCTAACCTTACTTAACCTAGCAGGCTGTGAGAGGGGATGTGGCTATTTTTTTCCTCCATAGCCAAAATAAGTGCTTATGAGTCTTTCTGTAGCTATCTTTTCTGGGCAGTTTTTTAAAGTAAATAAAAATTAATTTTATGACATAAAATTTTCTGATTAAAAACTGAGGATTAGATGTAATGATTTAACTTAATTTGGCAAGATCAAATTTGAAACATGTACATATGATAGGTTAAGATTTATGTATATTTCTAAGTGTTTATGTTTTTCATTTTAGACAAACTCCTATCCCATCTTCAAGATGTATATTTCAAGCTAGCTATGGGAGAGGATTTTAAAAGTTTCTACCACAAATAATAAATATTGGAGGTGACAGATATGCTAAATAGCCTAATTTGATTTTTCCTCAATTATGTACATATTTCAAAACAGCACACTTTACCACATAAACATGTATAATTATTTGTCAGTTAAAAATAAAAGTAAAAATAAATGAACATCACAACTGGCTAGTGATAAGGGAAGAGTGTGCAACAGCATAGAGCAGTGATTGGGCTTTTTCCTGTGTGTTCCTGGGTGTACCTTCCTTCTTATGCCACATGGGGTAGGAGAGAGAGTCCCATGCTGTGACTCTGCCTCCTTTAAGGAGATAGAATCGAGGCCCTCAAATTGAACACATCAGTCTAGTGTTTCTTATCCTTGGGGATGGTATGAAGAGGGGGAGTTGACAGATTTGATGACATCTTCTCCCCTTAGAGCTTTACTAAGTGAACTTGGAGTAAATGTTTAGTTGTACATCAATTCTCTTCCCTTTTCAAGTAAAAGTGTTTGTTGTATCATTTCAGCTGGTATTTTAATCATTTGAGTAATGTTTTCTTTCTTTTGGTGATATAAGAAGAGTGAGAATATGATCTCTGTTTTCTATATGGCAGAATTAATAATGAATAAGCTCAGATGACTTAATTTGGGCTTATGTGGTATTGGATAAGACTGATTCTGTTAGATCAGTGTAAAATGGGTACTTTACTAGATTATGCAAGTGCTAGGTATGTGCTAATTTAAAAGTAGAATACGAACTCTTTTAAATAATGAGGCATCTAAAGGTCTTGTTTTAGATGGTATGTGTAGACATATAAAGGAAGCATTTTTAATGATCAGATTATCTCATGTCCTTTGCTTAGGGTGTACCAGTGATGGCAATAAGAAACAAAATGATATCAGAAGGACTAGACCCAGATCTTCTTGAGTAAGTAATTCTTCTAATATAATGATATTATTACCAGGACATTGACTTTGTCAGTTATAATAAAAATATTTCAGATTCTCTAAAATTTTTCTCTACAGTGTTTTATGGTTGAGGATATCATCTTTGTAAATAGCATCTTTTATGTTACCAAAAAGAAAAATATCCTATTCTACTAAAACCAGCCTTTATACATTTTAGAAACAGTTTCAATAGATCAATAATGATTCTAGATATCCAAAGGAGCTGGAATTTAATGACAGTTTTGGGTTTTTTTTTCCTTTTTGTGCTACCTCCTTCTTGGTTTTTGTTTGTTTGCTTGTTTGTGCTTTTTTGGTGGGGGGTGATTATTATCTACCAGGGGGTAGATGATTTCATTTAGGATCTTAGTTTGTAGGAGATTTAGTCTACTATAATGTAGGTTAAGGCAGATTGAAAAATAAATAGGTTAAAGTTACTCTATGTCTATGTTAATTGTTATTAAGAAGCTAGATACTAATTTATGTGAAATTTTTTTTTTTTTTTTTTTTTTTTTTTTTTGAGACGGGGTTTCGCTCTTGTTACCCACGCTGGAGTGCAATGGCGCGATCTCGGCTCACCGCAACCTCCGCCTCCTGGGTTCAGGCAATTCTCCTGCCTCAGCCTCCTGAGTAGCTGGGATTACAGGCACACGCCACCATGCCCAGCTAATTTTTTTTGTATCTTTAGAAGAGACGGGGTTTCACCGCGTTGACCAGGATGGTCTCGATATCTTGACCTCGTGATCACCCGCCTCGGCCTCCCAAAGTGCTGGGATTACAGGCTTGAGCCACTGCGCCCGGCCGAAATTTTTTAACCTTTAAGTATTTAATTCCATATTATGTGGGTTTTATAATTTTTTTTTTTTTTTTTTTTTTTTTGAGATGGAGTTTCGCTCTTGTTACCCAGGCTGGAGTGCAATGGCGCGATTTCGGCTCACCGCAACCTCCACCTCCTGGGTTCAAGCAATTCTCCTGCCTCAGCCTCCCAAGTAGCTGGGACTACAGGCGCACGCCACCATGCCCAGCTAATTTTTGTATTTTTAGTAGAGACGGGGTTTCACCATGTTGACCAGGATGGTCTCGATCTCTTGACCTCGTGATCCACCCGCTTCAGCCTCCCAAAGTGCTGGGATTACAGGCTTGAGCCACCGCTCCTGGCTGGGTTTTATAAAATTTTTTTGAGGAATGATAAAAAAAATTATGGCTCAGAAATTTGACAACTATTTATTTCATCCAAGTAAATCTGGCTACATAGTTCATCTTGGATAAAATATATCAATGGATTCTTCAGAAGAATTCTGTTTTGCAAGTATCTAGGTACTTGTAAAGAATCTTTCCAGTTTGGGGTTGTAGTTCACCCCAATGTATTTGGCAAAGCACTCCAAGCATTTATTACTGTGCTAGCAGTATACTTTGGAATTTTTACTTTGGTTCTCAGTCCTCCAAGAAAAGGTGTACACTTTGGAGGTAAAACACCATAAAAGAGTCTTTTTATCATATTTTATCTGCCAAAACATGAAATTTATGAATTCTTTTAAAGTCTGAAAGAATGAATGGCCAGCATATATCTATATTTGGTATACATCCAAGTAGCAAACAGTTCAAGTGTCGTGGCACAGTTTGGTAACTTGAGCTGAAGCATCTCTGGGATAGTTTGCATTTGTTCTAGACACTGTCTCTGACACACACTTTAAAAGCCAGATGGATTGTGATATATATTTTAATGTGAATAGAACATACAGGTTCCATCCATTTTGGTACTCATTGCAATATATAGGTTGTAAATATATTTAACATTAACTATGACCTCCTTTTGCTTCTGGAAATATATAGACCTCCTATAATAACAGAGAGCTAAAATTACCTTTAAAATTATGACATTTTTCTAGAGCAAATATAATAAATGGAAAAGTAGCTCCCTATAAACATCAGCATATGCTGGATATCCAAGCCTTTTATCTGCTACTGGCTTCATTTCATCCCCTGCCCAACCTGAATCTACTTTATAATCCTTTACTTTAACCCACACTGGCAACTTGATAATCTTCCTTGATTCTGTCTTATTCCTTACCCACTACAGTGTCAATCACTGTGATTTTCTCATTTTTAATATCTCTCACATCTCACCATATGCCTCCATATCCATTGCTGTTTAGTTCACGCCCTCATGATTTGTAATCTGAATTGCTATAGTAGCTACTGATTGGTTTTCCTGTTCTCTTTCAAGTTATCCACTGAAGCCTGAGTGGATTTCTTCATACTTCATCATTGCTTCACCTCTTCCTGTGACCCTCCACTGCCTTCAACATGTAGTCTAACCTCTTAGTATTGCATAGAAATGCTTTTATCATTAAGACCCAGATTCTCTCACTAGCTTCATCTCTTGTGATTCTTTCACATAGGCCCATTTCATTTAGCCATACCAAACTACTTGCTGCTCCCTGAATGTATCATTTTCCTATTCCCTTTTTGTGTCTTAAATGTTTTCTTTTTCTTTCTGTGAAACTCTCTTCCCCCATCTTACTGGCCTGGCTAACCCATTATTCTTCAAGACTCCATCAGGTGTCACCACCCGATAGAATCCAAAGGTAACTACCATGGCGTGAAGATCCCAGGCCCTTCAAAATTTCCATGTATCTCACTTGGCCAGTTTGAAAGTATTTCGTTGTCTATAAATGTTGAGAAACATTCACTTGTGAGGTGGTGCCAAGTTTAAGGGTAAAATTCCAGTAACAATTAACATTGTCTTACAGAAAAGCTGCTCCTCAACCACAGCCTGGAGCCTGAATTCTGACCCATTACCTCATAAGCACATGCCATTGGTCACCAGGGGCACTGGTTGGAATGGGGGTGACTCACTGTAACCTATCATCACTACTGGCAAAGCAATTTTAACTGTCTTTAGCTAGATATGATAAGTGGAATCAACCACCTTGTTAACAGAGGAATTCTGGTGCTTTTGGAATCATGTTTACATAAAAGTTACATAGCCTCACTTTGGGAGAAAAGTATGAGATGATGAAAGAGAAGAAAATGTGCCATCCAAGGCAAGAGTACACTTTATTTAGAATCTTAGGTACATTTTAAGCCTCAGCCAAGAACTTTCAGTAAAGATTGTTCTGTGTTCTTTTTTATTTTAAAGTGTAAACATACGCTTTCTTTTTTATTAGCTTTAGGTAGTAAGACAAACTCATATAACTGTTGGAAGAAATGGCCTAGATCTGCCTGCATTGAGCAAAGGGCAAAACTGAGGTTAATATAGAAATAAATGCTGATCAGAAAATATATTGATATTTGATTGACTTATGTATATCAAAAATTGGAAGCTGAGAGTACATAATTTTAAACCAAAATATTTACATGGTAAAGGAGAAGAGACCCTGACAATATTCCTAGAAAAATGACTATTACAGAATTTTAGGAAGTCTATAAAACTGTAGAAAATGCCTGATAATTACTAAATAAAAATTAGATTTTATTCTTCTGATTGTTTTTAAAAATTCAAGTTTTTGAAAATAATTATTTATATATAACCAAGAATTAGTCCTGTTTCGTTTCTAAAAATTAGTTTTACTACCACTGAGATAAAAAGATAATGTGAAAGAATACCTTTGTCACCAAAATATTCGAAAGAGTTTAAGGGGAAAGAAAATGGAAAAGTTTAATTGGTCTTTGGCCAAAGGTTAATCTGTTTTAGCTTTACATTCGGAAATATAGAATGGGTAAATCATGCCTTAAATATTCTTTCAATTATTGCCTAGATTTTCTTGCTTAGAAAAAAAGAAAAAGGTTTCTCCCCTATCCTGTTCCGTCCTCTTACATTTAAGTCCCTGAACTAACGTTACTATTGTTACCTAGTAATTGCTACTTTTACTTTTCTAGGATAAACAGATCAGCTTCTGGACTTGACCATTAGCAAGGCATGAAATTCATGATGGTTAAGGCTCAGGAAGAAGGCCTACTTTAGAGATGGTCTACTTACTTGTATTCAGACTCTACCCTGCCACTTTCTAGCTGTATGAACCTGGTTTGATTACCTAACCTCTCTGAGCATCAGTTTCCTCATCAGTAAAATGAGAAATAGAAGAGTTCACTCCCTTATAGAGTTATTTAGACTAAGACAGATAATGATCTAAGCACTCAGCACAGCTCTGGATAAGCAGTAAATGTTTAATAAATATTAGTTGTGATTTATTAATGTTTTAATGGAGGAATATGTAGCAAATTCTAGACAATGGAGTTATCAGGCTTTTGGATCACAACTTGTTTATAATCCTTTAGTTGCCTCTATAGTGTTCTCAACAAAGACATATTTAACATATACAGAGTAGTTACCTTTTTAAATTACATTCTGTTTTCTCAAACTGAAAACCTATAGTGTTACTTTGCTATAAAGAACAAATTTCTGAAATTAAAATTCAATTAACCACACTCTTAACCTTAGTGGGAGGGTGCAGTGTGCAGTTTATCAATTTGGCTAAAGAAAGCATATAAAAACTGAGTTCAGAAGCAGACTTTGAAGAGAACTAGCTCAGTTGGGATTTCTCCTGAATATATCTATCCAAAAGACATTTGTACCATCCTCCCAGACAGTGAAATGACCACTCTTACAGTTGCCAGAAATAAAAGTAGCCACCTTCGCCTACTTATTATTGAGACAAGAGGGGATTTATTATTGTTAAACAAAAGCATACTGGGAAGCAAGAAAACTTTTTTTTACATGGCATGTCTAGCAGATTTTTCTGCCATCTAAGAGAATGCCTTATCTGCCAGAAGGATCTTTATCTCCTGCTATATAATAACATAGTGGATTAAAGATTGAGTTTTGGCTGGTTAAGGATAGATTAGACCTCATTTGAACAACTGGACATCCAAAAATAGGGTTTTTACTGTTTCCATTTTGTTAGTTTTTGGTGAGCTTGCTTCTCCATTTAATGTAATTACCAGTCCTCATTCATTAGCTGGCAGACATTAGAAAGTACAGGAAAAATAAAAACCATGTCAAAAAATTGTGATTGTTCTGCTTCTAGAGAACTTGATCCTAAGAATGAGAGAGATAATAGTGTATCAAAGAGGAGGTGTTAAAAAGCAGTTGTGGTCTGTCGTGGCTGGCAGAGGCGTGACAGAGGAGCTGCTGAGAAATAAAGTATCTCAAGATCAATAGCAAAAGCTCATCCTCCTAGAACAGCTGCTTTTCTTTTTCTTCATGATATCAGGCATTAAATTGTTTTCATGGTTGCAGGAGTCTACATATTAAGGCAAAGAACAGGATATACCTGTCGATTAGAATTCAAAAGAGAAAGATACCAAATGATCTCACTAGCTGCTATAATATCAAAGGCAAAATTGTTATATTTTTAACTACCCAGAGGTCCTTATTAAGTCAATGCAATCTCAGTTCATCTGACAAACCACCATTAATTGACAAAAGTACCATGTGACATTATAATTTCATGTGTGTAGTTGACATTAGTGATTTGAACAACTACCTCACCACCTCCTACTCAGCAATATTTTTACTAACAATGTTTTTGTACTTAATATGCTTTAAATTCAGTGATTTTAAATGTATAGAAAATGAAAAATGTTTTTAAAGTCTTTATCATACCTGTTTTCCCAAAGAATGTTTGGTTTTTGTTGTCTTTAACTGCAGTTTTTAAACACAAATACAAATCTTCCTTTAATGAAAACAAATTAAACCAACAATATTGCTACATTAGGACTCTCTTCATATTTAGGATGGCAGAAACCAACTCAAACTAGCTTATACAAGAAGGGAAGTTATGGACTCTCATAGCTGAGAAATCTAGGTAAGGACAGGGTCATAGGATTCAGTGTCATCAGGGCTGCTGGCAGCATTCTTCTCTCCCCACCTCATTCTACCTTTACTTCCTTGGTATAATAAACCATGCCTCTCCTAATTTCCTCTCTGAAGCCTGGGAACATATTACCCAGTAAGGCTTTAATATTGCTAGTTTTTCCAGTTGAACAGAAATAGAGCTCCTTCTTCTCCATAACCCATAGTTTCTTTATTTCTTTTTTTTTTTTTTTGCCTGTTTTATTTTTTATTTATTTATTTGCATTTTGGGTTTTGGGGTACATGTGAAGAACATGCAAGATTGTTGCATAGGTACACACATGGCAGTGTGATTTGCTGCCTTCCTCCCCTTCACCTATATCTAGCATATCTCCCCATGCTATCTCTCCCCAACTCCCCACCACCCGCTGTCCCTCCCGTATTTCCCCACAACAGACCCCAGTGTGTGATGCTCCCCTCCCTGTGTCCATGTGTTCTCATTGTTCAACACCCGCCTATAAGTGAGAACATGTGGTGTTTGATTTTCTGTTCTTGGGTCAGTTTGCTGAGAATGATGGTTTTCAGGTTCATCCATGTCCCTACAAAGGACATAAACTCATCGTTTTTGATGGCTGCACAGTATTCCATGGTGTATATGTGCCACATTTTCCCTGTCCAGTCTATCATCAATGGGCAGTTGGGTGTGTTCCAGGTCTTTGTTATTGTGAACAGGGCTGCAATGAACATTCGTGTGCATGTTAAGGGGACAAGTCCTGCCTGAATTGTGTGCCTTTCTTTGACTCCATCTCTCTCTCCTTCTCCCCACCACCCAGGAAATAAATAGATTCCTGTGATTGGCCAAGCCTAGATTATGTGATTGAAACAAATAAGTGGATAGGGAAAAGATGAGGTAGCAAGGATTCTGGTTGACAACCTTCATCGACTCACATAAATAGTAGAAGAGTAGGTGTCAAAATTAGAATGCACACAGCATCTGATATTAAAACAAGGGCAGATTTGTATATACTTTATCCTTCCTCCTGCTCCTTTCTATATTTTGGCTCATTTTTAGTTGAGGTCAACCTAGTAACTTCTTTGAATATATATATTTAGATAGTTTAGATATAGTAATTAGTTTAAACTTAAACTTTTTAAAAATTTGCTTTTATTAAAAATTGTACTGATAATTTTGATGTCACAAATATAAATATGATTATTAAAATGTAGCCACCAAGTATTTTTATTGTAACCATCAAAGATTGAAATTTTTAAAAAATATACATGATATTCATGATATATATTTTTCTGGATTTTGTTAATATAATATTTTTTGGAAATTCACATATTTTTAAAATAATGAGAGACTATTATAAAGTCGACGTTTCCAAATTTTAGTAGTAAAGTGTGTTTTCTTTGAATTGAGAGAAGCTAAACTTTAGTAGTTTAAAGTAGCAAGTTTTTCAAATATGTCTTAAAATTTCTTTCCATGAAAAACAACTTATAGGATGAAGTAAGAACATTTATGATCATAATATACAGAGCCAAATTTTCATTCCCCTTGAAAATACGAATATTCAGGCTGGAAATGATGGTATTGCTTGAGTTTTATTATTAGTAAGAATATTTTTAAGGCTTTACAATTTATAAAATGCTTTCCTATGTATTACCTCATTTGATTCTTATGGTTTGCTTTTTTTTTTTTTAATTTTTTGAGATTCCGAAGTCTTGTGCTTTTCTTTTTTTATACTCAAAGAGAACTAGTGTATACTTTTTGTTTTGTTCTCCTGACAATTAGTATATATTTATTTATTTATTTACTTATTTATGTTTTGAGACGGAGTTTCGTTCTTGTTACCCACGCTGGAGTGCAATGGCGCGATCTCGGCTCACCGCAACCTCCACCTCCTGGGTTCAGGCAATTCTCCTGCCTCAGACTCCTGAGTAGCTGGGATTACAGGCACGTGCCAC